GCCAAGTCATCGTCAGCCTCCGTGCCATGGAATCGCCAGATCTCGTGCCCCTCCCCCGCACAACCCAGAACGGGACTGGTTGCTAGCAGGACTCGATCCGATATCAGAGCGTGCTTTTTGTGTGCGCGACATGGATCCCCCCAACCCGCAAGATCAAAGTCAAGACGACTTGTACTTCACGGAGCAGTGCTACGGTAATAGTACGGGAGATGACTGCCTCCTCGACGGCTTGGCTTTTGATTCGGATCCATTTGGCGATGTGCGATTAGATCATCTGGAGGCGATCGGCTTAGGACCACAAAGCCTCTTCACCTTCGACGCACCGCAGGCGGACTTGAATTCCACGTTTCTTGAATCAAATCAACCATGGTCTTATCATGAGGGGAACTCTGCTGACTTTGCACTGGACGAACACCCCCAGCTGCCCGAGATTGCCGGTCCGTCTTCACAGACGCAACATGGTTTCACGGACGTCTGGCAGTGGCTGGAGGGCGCTGAGCAACCCCCTCACCCCTGCAGCCACTGCAAGAGTAAGCGGCTACAGTGTATTATCCTTCAAAAGTCCGACGTAAACCCAAACCCTCTCAGATCCTGCACCACGTGCGTTGCATTGTACCGAGAGTGCAGTTTGGCCAAGGGGCAGAAGCGTCCTCCATCTGTCTTTGAGACTCAGTTACCGGTTTACAAACAGCTACATGGTGTGCCAGAGCAGGAAGAGTCTGGGGTATGTTGATCTATCTTTCCAGTTACACGACGGATGCTAACGTAGCCGCCTTATAGGAGAGGCAGCAACCACAGCTAGAACCAACAATCCCGGAGGAGGATGGGCAGAGAAACTCAAAACACTTCGTAAGAAAGGGAGCCAGGATATTGAAAGAATGGTTTGAGCGGAACGAGAACCACCCGTATCCGTCTGAACTGGAAAGAATCGCTCTTGAACAAGAAACGGGCTTCTCGCAGAAGCGGATATCAACATGGTTTTCAAATGCTCGACGACGGCAAAAGCAGCGCATACAACCCGTCATCCGAGCCAAATCTCCTCGGCCCTTTGACAAAGAGTCCGAGGCATCCAGTAGCGCGCTCGGCCTTACGCCTTTCGAGAGATGGCAGGCTTCGCCGCCGGATGAGGAGCCGATCCCCGAGTCTGTGATTCGCGATGCTCTCGGATCGTTGAAGGATGATAGTTTCATCAACGATGATTCACTCGCGGATAACATTTCGCCCAGGGACAAGTTCCCTGCGGATGATGTCGTCTCTCGTCACCACTCCGTTTCAAGCTTCGACAGCGGGTCGCACATAACTTCAGCAAGCTCTTCGTCCGTCTGGAGCTGTCAGTCCTCTAGAGACAGCAACTTTGCGTACCCAATTGCTTCGGCCAGACGTCGACGCCGCGCCAGTCTAAAGCACGAGAGACGAGACAAAGAAGAAGGGGTTCTTAGGTTCCAATGCACATTCTGCACTAAATCATTCAAGAAGAAGCACGACTGGGTGCGCCATGAAAAGACAATACACCTCCCCCAAGATTCATGGATATGCACGCCCGACTTGAACAGTCTTCAACAACGCATGGTCGCGGGTCTAGACTGTCCTTTCTGCGACGAGAGAAACCCTGGTCCAGATCACTGGGAGGAACACGACTTTCACATCTGCGCAACGAAGCCATCTGTAGAACGGCTCTTCACTCGGAAAGACCATCTCTGGCAGCATCTACGCAAGTTCCACGGATGGAGCAAGGACCTGCCAGCGGACCTGGACAAGTGGCAGTTCTCGGAGGGCAGCGTCGAGAGCCGGTGCGGCTTCTGCGGGCGCGTCATGTCGGACTGGACTGAGCGAGCCTCGCACATCGCGGATCACTTCAAGAATGGGATGCGCATGGCTCAGTGGGAAGGGGATTGGGGCTTGAACGAGTCGGCCTTGTCTCTGCTTCGCGGTGCGGTTCCGCCCGCTCAACGAGCCACACCAAATACAATTCTACGCCCGACGTCTTAGGTGAATATCGGCCGTGAGGGGGAGGATCTGCGGCTGCAATAACGCCGAGCGCTTACAGGGGCGCTGGGGTGAGATGTGATGGGAATTTGGGTTGTATGCAGGGGTCATGCAGTATTATTCTATGGCCCGGAAGAACAATAAATTCTTCGATAGCTACCGAATACTCAATAGAAGACAACCCCAGTGCACGGTAGCCGAGAAGCAGTAAGCAGTGGTTGGTCCCTCCTGGTACTTTGCATTCCGTGGGGTGTTCCGCTGACCAGAAGTAAGCCTGGTGTTTCGGACCTTTCCGTCCCAACGGCGGCATCATTCCCTGATTTGGCTCAACCTGAAACTGGCTTTTTTGCCATTTGGCCCTACAAGGCTGCGGGCTGTTCCTGTTCGTGAGACGGCACCCCCCTTCGACGCGGGGATCAGCCACACCATCTGATGTATCAACTTTGATGCAATCCTGCATTCCAAGCTTTGCTCGATGAAGGCGATATGCCCAGGGCTTCCATTCGCGCATTAATCATTTATTCTCCGTCTTAGCTGGCGGTCGGTCCCGCGTTTAACTCGGGCAAGCAGCTCCGTCTGAACCGGCATTTGAAGGTTCCAGCTCCGAATACCCTGTCAAGATCGGAAATGAATGGACAAGGGGAAACCAAACCCCCGGGAACGGTTATGAGATTGAAGCCTTGTCCCTGTCCAAATCCCAACGTCGGTACCCAATCCGAGAATCTTATCTCTTTGGATGGCAGAAGGGGTCCAAGTGTCAGTGGGGGGGGGACTCAACCTCCTCGTAGCCCAGGGCCGTTGGACAAAGATTATGGAGTAGGCGGAAGATACGGGGTTGGCTGGAGAACCGCAGATCACAAGGCTTATGTGTATAATTTCATGCAAGTTCGAGATATGCATCTAGGTACAAGTCAATGCAATCAAGCTAAAAATGCATGTCTCAGACCTGACTGAGAGGAGAGCGTAGGAGTGCCGCGATGCCGTGATGAACGGTTCGGGCTCATTCGGCTGACCAAACAAATTAGGCACCTCCAAAAGAGGGAAGAAATAAGAAGGAAAAGCTACTGTAGCAGCGAACCCCATCTCAGGACCCATCCGGCTGGAATGGTGTCAACCCTGTTGGCCGGTTGGCTGCTGTCAGACGGGTGAGACACATGCGTCGCTGCTATGATTGCCAAAAACAATCTTCACTTTCGGCCTATCCGCAGCAGGGCCTACGGACGTGAATCACAGGGACTTTTACGGGGCAAAAAAATTAGATCACTGACCGATATTGACTCCCCTGTTACTCTTTATGGGGTTGCAACGTTGCCACAGATAGTGGCTGCAACGCCCTTCAACCGCCATACAGCCGTCTATCCCTACAAGGCCTCCCCCACTGTATACCATACTCCCACCCTCCCGCAGATCGTTTCTCCAACATTGGTGGCTTTGCGCCGAGAATGAGGCCTAACGTGCTTGTGCCAAGTGACCACATACTAGTCTCAAACCAGCGCTTAGAGCATCAGCACACGTCGGAGTTGGCCGTATTGCACTCTTTGGGCGATAAGGTTTTGCATATTTGTACAAACAAGGTATTAGCCTCGGTACTGTTATTATGACACAATATTGGCCTCAGGGGGTGGCGGTCGTGCCTGTATGTCTCGTAGGAGGGGTGGGGAATGGGGAGGATCATCCAAGACAAGTTCTATACTTGGCTTGGGACAGGACAGTACGCCTACGGTAGGATACGCAGTATGTTGTGATCACATGGTGGTGTTTTCTCTCGAATGAAATTCAGCCAGTTTTCTTGTTTTATGTTGTCTCTCCTGTACACCTAGAGTGAGACGATAGGCAGACTAGGTATTTCCGTCCACACTTCTGTGATATAACGGCAATGCTCTACGTTATTGACGTCAAGGGGATAAGCTTCGCAATCTCGCAGCCTGGAAGCACAATGACGACGCAATATTACTTGGTGAGACTTAAATTTTGGAGTATCAAACGGGTCAACAGCCGGTGGCAGATTAGTGCAAGCGTGTTGGGTCGCATTGTATGCAGCTGAAGATTCTGTCCAATCGTAATTTACATCCTACAGTTTAGGATAATTTACTAGCCAGGGAAGGATATGCAGTAACGTGCCTTCCGCCCTACCTTCCGTCTCCTCGGTGTCCCAGGCAACTGGGAAGTGCAAGGGGGCGACGCGTGCGATCCCACCCTCTACATGCATCTGGGTAATTTCTTTGCTTATGTGAGTGGTATTTTGCAGATTCTTAATTTTGCTTTCACATATCAAGTCTTCGATTATCATTCTAGACTTCAGATGACATGATCATGTTCGTAGGCTTTGGTTTGGGCCGAACTAGTTCCTGGTCGCCTTGAGTGGAACCGGCTGCCTTCCTTCAACACACAAATGCAACACTGGTAAAGAATGGTTCGCGCGGCCCATCGTGCTCAATGGAGCCTTTCATGGCCATTGTGGTTGCCTGGATAGCTAGAACACGCCTTCCCAATCACAGTTCACCTCACGCTTTAAGACACTCGCTTCGCCACGCCTGCACTGCTTCATGCGGTCACAGCTTACACTGGGGATGAACCAGGTCAAGCTTATTCCCCATGACTCCCATTGCGTTATTTTCATGATTCCTTGCTTTTCTTGATGGGTATTCATACGCCCCCCTTTTGGTGGCGCTTGGCGGCGGTCCTGAGTCCTGACTCTGGCTCTGACAAGCCAGCACCCGTATACCGAGACATTTCCCACCTAAAGCCCAAACGTGGCTGGAATCCACACTCGCGTCTAGGCTTTTTTTAGGTTCGATCAGTAATATGGATTCTTTGTATCGACGCCCTGTTGGGAGAACTGCAGTATGCAGGAGCCCGTCCTAGCGTCAAGAATTCCCCGTCTGGCCCCTTACCCTCCGCACCGAATCAGATACATCCCCGGCGAGCTATCACGAATACGATCCATATGTTCACTCCCGTTCATTGATATCAAAGGCACATGAAGGGAATCAACCAAGACCCCCCTTTACTAGGTAGGGGCACAAATGTGATCGAACAATCGTGGGTTGGTGACCCACACGTGCTCGCCCATGAGTGCGAAGATGAGGTCTCGTCACATCTACTATGCCGAATAAACGGTTGGACCCACGGTACAAAGGTTATTCACGGTATTCCTCAGAAGATCCAAATACTATAAGAAGGTACGGTTCACCCAGCATGTTTAATTCCCTCCAGACACTCATATCCGAGCATCTCTTAGCAATTCGGCAATCTCGCTCCAACATCTGATCAAAAAAGAGTCTATATTCGTCCAACCTTTGACGACAGTATGTTCAAATCAGGCTTTCATCTCATGAATGCAAAAATCACCAATGAACCAGCGTTGACATTCTTAGACTTCATCACAATATTCTAAATATCTTCATTCTCTAGCTCTCAATCGCAATGCCTAGGTATGACACTCCAATCCAATCCTCGCCCCTTTCCTCCATCCATCTACTAATACCATTCTAGCTCAAACTCGACATCCAACTCTGGTCAGGGCAGTGGCCAGGGAGGCAACTCAACCGACCGTGACACCCACTACATCGACAGAGCTGACAAGAACATCCGTGACTTCGAGAGCAAGTTCACCCCCAAAGGTGGAAGCGGAAGCGGAAGCAGTGGTAGCAAGTAGTTATCGCTACCTTCTATTCAGATCGTTTTCATGGAGTCGGGAAAGATAAAATCTCGGGCAACCGAACTGTTCTTATGCAACATCCCCAATCTACTTACCGGTGTTTTATTTAAATTCACTGGCATCATGTTTCGAGTCATTGCTTGCTATCCGCGGATGGTTTAACAATTGACTCTTCAATACTTCAATTCTTGTATCTCGCATATCGAGTATATCACCAACGAAAGGACGGGCAGTCACCACGTGACTGCCCTGTTCAATTGTTTTTTATATTAAACTCTTTTTACCCTACTGATATTCACATGTGATATTGCTAGATAGCCAAGTCGTAGTCGCGGATAACTGCTGACAGTGCCGATGAACGTTGTTACGGCACCTCACGTGCCAAGCGTTACACCCAGTGAACTGCGCCAAGCCGAGAATTATGACTCTGAGCGAATGAAAGGCGGAAGAAAGAAAGGGCCACATGTCATTCGAAACACCCGCTGACAGACCAATGAAATGGTCGCGGCGAGGCGAATTCACCTCGCCTTCCTACTCTCCCCGTAGACCAAATGAACGCCTGGAGGTCTCCGCACATCATTTCCACCAATGCCATTTCTCAAAAATCTTGCCGGCAGCAGACTAGCAACACGTGAATGAAATTCGTCTTACATGCAGGTGACTCATTCACGGTAACTACAGGGCAGACTGGCCAGTGGGGTTGTTGCTATTCCCGCAGATGAGATGATACGGGGATCTATCAACCTCTCCGTCACAAATGAGCTCTTCAAGGCATTCGCAAACGTTTGCTTTCTATTGGCCCTTGACCAATCTGCCTACACGTCGACTCGGTGATAACGTCGCAATGAAACCCAACTCCAGTTGTCACAAGACAGGAATAAATCACGAGAAAAGACGTTTCATGTCTCCTTATTTGGTCAAGTTATTTCCGAGTCAGAAATATCATCGCCAACGATTAGGCAGCCAGGTAGCTAGCATCAGCAATGGAGCTACTGCGCATCATGCGATACTGCACCTCATGTCTTTGAGAGTAGCATGACCAGGAATAATCTCAGTAGTGCTCATTCTACCATATTACAACGCATCCATCGACTCCATTATTGCATCAAACCCCTCCTCCATGACCGCAGTAGCCTCCTCAAGCCGGTTAGTCAATGCGTGAATCTTATCCATCCTGGCCTCGCTGCGCGTCGACTGCGGCATCTTTCCAATCCGCATCAGCAGCTGATTGAAGTTCTTCATCTGTATCTTCGCAAGGACCCGGATCATGTGGAACTGCTCCTCGGTCGAGTACTGCTCCCGAAAGTCGGGCGAGAACATCTCCGGGTTGCACACGACGACCACGCCGTCCCGGCCTACTTCACCCTCCAGTGTGTGTGATGAGTTGCCAGGGCTGTCCGGGACCATCATCTTCTTCTTGAATGAGAAGAATGCTGGACCGTTAACTGTGTCGATCGGATAGCATGGGTTCGCTTCGAGCTTGTCTCCTTCCACGAGGTGAGGGCGGGTGTTTGCGACCCGTCGTCCCAGGCAGAGGAACATCTCCGTTACCCTCTCGCATATGATGAGCACCACCGTGTGGGCTTTTGCTAGACTGTTGCAGCTTTTGCAGTCGAGTGGCGCGAGGCAGTGAAAGAGCAGGAATTTCTGGAGCTTGAGAACCTGATCGAAGGCAAGAGTGCGGAGCTTGTACTCGTCGTCGTCGAGCTTTTGCACGATCCCAACCAAATCGTTTAGACACGGACAGACGCCACCTAGTGGTGGTGGTGGGTTTGACCATTCTGGAACATCCTGCGGTACCAAGTCATAAGTCTTTGGGTTGTTGAATCCCATGAAGTCATGAGAGTCGATTGTAACTAAATCCTTGCCGAAGGCTCCAATATCGATGCCCCAATCTATTACAGTTAGTAACCATCTTGCTTAGAATTCAAGTGGAACGCAGTACCTTGTAACGTAGGTGCCGGAGGAGAGGTGTCCTTGTCTGGTGTCGGGAGAGATTGCAAGCTGTCTGAGAGGTTCAAGCCCACTGATTCCGTAATTGATACAGCATGCTCCTCCGCCACCCGTCTCTCCCTTGCCACGGTACGAGCAGCAGCTCTCTTGGTCCGAGGGGCCGGCGGGATGATACACAGAACGCCGTGGGCTTTACACTTGTCACAGCATGCCCGGCTCCCGGTGCAACGGAGCTAGGTGTCTACTTTTAGCAACCAACTCTCCGCCCATGCAACCCAAAAACATACCTTCTTGCTCTGGCAGTAGGCACAGGAATTGCGGCGATTGGCTCCGAACCGGCGTTCGGCTCCACCTTGCCCGGCCTCGGTGAAGGAGATTTGCTCCATGCCGGACTTGGCGGAGCCCTTCTTGGGAGGTTTCAAGGTCATGAACATCTTTTGCCGCCTTTGATGAAGTCCGAGGTCACTGCAGGCGCAAGCTGAGGCGGTTCTGTTGTCCGGGGATTTCCTGAAGAGGTAATTGCGCGTACTACCTGATTGGTACGAGTTGGGGAGGTTCCACGGAAGGGAGGGAGAGGTTCCGTGGAAAATTGGCGAGTTGAAACTGAAGAGTTGCAGAATTGGATATTGCGTAAGATTGCTCAGGTTCGGAAATTACCCTAAAAGGGAATCCTTGGTTGGTCATTACTCATCCTTCATGACAAATATCAGTAATACGGCTGTCCCCGGTTTTACATCCTCATCAACCTACCCTGTACTGAGACGACCATGTGAAGGCCGCAAACCTTTGTAGCTGTCTGTTGGAATATCTTCGAATGTTGACTTTTTTGCTCTGTAAGCTGTGCTAGCTTTAATACATAGCGCTAATATCACAGTTCAAATTGCTTAATACAGTGGAGAAAGCGATGATTCGTCTACCCAAGTTCATGACATGGAGGACTAGTAGCAAGATGTAATTTCAAATTCTAATACAATTCCCATATATCCATCAACGGGATCAAATGTCAAACAACAATTCTAAAATCTAGTTATTCCCGACGGCTAGAGGTCTTGGTGCAATAAAAGTAGTCCCCTCAAAATAAGAGGAAGATAATCAGTCAATTATTCAATACATCAGCCATATCACACACAACTTCTCCATGCGGCCACTTAGTCACTTTCAACCGAGCAGATAAGTAAATATGTGATCCGCAAAAAATTGACGGGTAGAAAATAGTTGCAAATTAATTAAATTCGGGTTATCCAAGTCGTTCTTGCCTGTGAAAAACTTCAAGATGGTGGCGGGGTTGTGATGAAAGTTGATTCTAAAGAAGTTAAGAAAGCTAGCCCCGGGATAATAAATAAACGCGTACTCTTCTAAGGGAGAAGAACCGTTGCTCCAAGATCGAGAAGAAACAAAAGATTGCTTATCCTTATTTCTCCTTGCTCCCAAACTCTAGTAGAAGCTCGCTGACTTGTTCAGGCAACTCATGAGCCAGCCAGTGTCCGCCGTCGAGTATTTTGCTCTCGAATCCGCCCAATGCCCAGGGTTTGGTCAACTGGATCATCAACTCGGGCCGAGCAATGGGATCCAAGGCTCCTAAAATGGCCAAGACAGGCACGTGCAGCTGCTGATCCTCAACGGTGAGCTTGTCATCGTCGGCCGCATTCACACCCCGAAGCTGTGATCTGTAGCAGTTCAGACCAGACTCAGTAGCGCCTGGACGGCTCAAGAATGCCTTCCAATTCGCCTTGAAGGTTTCCGTCACGAAAGGCGCGTCCCCAGTTCGAGTATCGGCATTGAGCCAAGCGCGTGCGGCACCAACTGGAACAAATGAGGTTTTCCAAGTTTCGTAATTCTCGGGGAAGATGAGGTTGAAGAAAGAATCCAGCTAAAGAAAAATATATTCATTAGCCCCATGGATGCTTGGGATAAGGGATGCTCGGGGGAAAACAATTCAATATTACTCACATGATTCCTGATGACTGAGCCAGCATCATAGCGATCGAAGAAGTACCAGTATCCGAAAGGCATGTACCCCCACTGAGCCAAGCCCAAGGCATTAATAGCATCAATGTCAAAGAAGCCCGCAGACTGGTAGCCCACGTTTAGAAACACCAGCTTCTGGAACCTATCTTGGTGGTACATTGCCACCCGCGAAAGTACTGCAGAGCCCCAATCATGGCCCACGCCAATCACCTTTGCCAGGCCTTTGGAGTCAAGGAGCTCAGCGATGTGGCTAGCCAATCGCTTGCCTTTATAATCCTCGGGAGCTGTCGGTAGGTCAGAGGAGCCAAAACCCAGCATGTCAGGAGCAATAGCCCCGAAGCCTGCCGCAGTCACGGTGGTGATTTGGCGTTCCCAGTCCTTGCGAGAGGAAGGATATCCGTGAAGAAAGAGGAAAGTGGGCCTTGATTCTTGGGCTGGTTTATAATCATAAGCGTATCTCGTGCCATCAGTAGTCGTGAAAAAGTTGACAGCAGAATCATGGTGAATGGCTGATTCTCCGCTAGGTGTAGGCGAAGTAGATGCCATCGTGAAATAGGGTGGTGTGCAAAGAATACTAGGAGTGTGTGTTGGTTAAGTGATGTGAATAGTATAGCCCTTGAGAATTGCTGATGAAGTCTACTTTATATAACAAAATGTGAAGTCACAGTGCGGGGACAAGATGGCGCAGTCTCAAAACAAACATGCCAGTACCATTTCGGTAAGCAGGTCGTCGCGTTTGGCCTCGGGCAGCGAGCCTGAGTTTACGTGAGGGAATCAGTAAGCAAAAGCGAGCTCTTAGGAGCATCAGCTCAACCTCGAGCAAAGATTCAAGGCATAAGTTTGTCAGCGACCCTATGACTCACTGTGAGAAACTCTATCTAGTATCAAATTTCGTTGCATCAAGTAGCATTCGTCAAGATGTGGTTAGCGACAACTACCTTAATCATTCATTTTGCTCATCCCACTCGGACCAGGGTTGATCTGACTCCCACGGACAATTCGGACAGGATCGATCTGACAACGCCGGACAATTCGGACAGCGACTACCCATGTCACGCAGGCTTCATTCAGGCTTATTATTAATAGTTAGCACATGTTTTGGCCATTTAACGATAAACCAATCATATTCATCACCATATTCAAGATCTATCCCACCGGGTGGTGTAGTGGGGGTATTCGATGGTTTGATAAGTGGCTGGTAATAAATAGATATAGGTAAACATCATACACTGCGCGACGAAGAAGATAGAGTTAGAGTCCCATGAGTTTTTTTTTTTTTTTTTTTTTGGTTTGTTGGCAGCTTTATCTCCCTAGCATATAAGACGAGCGGGATACGTGTTCTTGGGTCTTGAGGTGAGGCTCTCATAGGGTGGAGACGTTTAGGCAGGCCCGTAGACAGCATTGTTACACAAGCATACATATGACTGCACGCGTAAGAAAATCTCATTCACGGCCTTCTACGCTTCTAATGTATATGCTAGAATTAAGAGTTTTCGGGTAATCTATAGAAAGGGCACAGTTGTCCGCATTTTGTGTGCTTGCCGTCTGCTACTTGTACCATAGATGTAGCTTCAACGAGTTTTCGGTAGTAATTGCAGGAGAGTTATCGAAATACCAAATGCATTTGTGCTAGAGGGATATAGGATGCGTGGATTTGCTCACACGGGCCAAGGGACCATGCATGTTGTTAATCAAGTGATGTAGGATGTCTTGGAGACAAATTCCCCGTTCACGGGCGTCACAAAACAATTCTGTCTATAAATGACATTCTTTGCGCCGTTTCATGTGCGTTTGTACACATTCGCTCTCTATGGAGCGCTATTTCAGAAGATTTTGCTGCTCACCAGGGATTCAAGCGTACGAAAGGCAGTCAAGGAGGTTCTAAACAGTCAGAAATTCGTCTCATCGCAAGTGCTCCCGATTTCCCCGCAAAACAGATTGTTCGGTGAGGTGGCTTAGTGAAACCTGCCATGATTTCTAGTTGATTAAATTTTGTCCAAGTTTATCTTTAGATCCACTTAGCCGCTCTTGATAATTGACGAGGAGTTAAGCTTGAATTCCTGCGCTCCACCTGGTTCGGACTTTCTTGCGAATTTTGCAGGTCTAGTCCAACGCGGGAGCTTTACACGAGCCGAGAGTTGTAACATTTATTTGGAACATGTTATGTCTTGAAATATTCAATCGCTATGTATTGTGATTGTCCCTAACCATTATCGCTTCAAAGCCTCAACGTACCGGCACGGCGATATTAGGGATATTGCCGAGGAATCATACACTATCAACAAGACTCCCCCTCAATGGCAAGTTTACTATATAAAAAAAATCGAAAGATCGTTTACTAATAGGATGAAGACGATCGGCTTCCGTTAAACCTCTGTTTAACCGAGACTACTTAGGGGGCCTAAATTAGCTAGCCCCTCTACCTTCGGTAGGGGGGGTTAGTAACTAGTAAAAAAGATAGTAATTTATAAAAAAAAAAGTAACCTAGTATATCTGCTAAATTTAATATATAGTATATATACTATCTTTTTAATATATATCTTACTTATATTCTTAGCTTACTCTATTAATTTAATACTAATATAATAATTTTTTACTTTATATAATAGATCTATAATATATTATTTAATATAACTTTATAATTAATAATATAATAATTAACTTTAAAATTTAGAAAAAATAGTATTAGATTTAGAATTAAATAAT